CTATACCACCTGCAGCCATAATAAAATTTTTGTTACAAAGCTCATATAAGTAATCTTACCCAAGTTAGCAACATCCCCATCACATTGAATAACTATACTTTGACCTAAACCTCCAAATCTTTCTTCCAACCAAATAAAATTTGCAGCATAATCAAAATTTATATCATTTGACCTGCTAGCCCCCTTAACCCAAATATTTTGTTAACTGAATTCAAAATCCAACTGATTGATCTATTAATATTACTAAGGGTAAAATACAAAAAACGTCCCCTAAAGTTTCTGACAATTATAAAACCTCCCTTATAGTTTCACTTTAGCAAAAACCACCCTTAAATTAAAAAAAATGACAAAAAACCTCTTCTCCTTTACTAATTCAGACGGAAAACATTTACTGATGCAAATATTTTTTCCAAATACCCATTTTACCCTTTTGTAAAATGGCCATTCGAGTCAACGATGGAGTTAGTGGACATGTCTGGAAGGTGGCGGGCATCGAAGATGGATGCGATTGCCATGATAGGCCTATCTCGTGGCCACGACCACAACAACAAAATCATACTATTTGATGTAGTGCGATCTGATAGCTCTCACGTGGTAGATGACTTAGACGCTGAATCAGATGCTTATGATCGGTGGCCGAGCTGAGATGGCCGAGATGTATAGTTTTACAAAAGGAGAGAGTTAGAGTGCTCGAGTTGTTTTACCTGGGATGGGCACTCTGATGCTTAAGTCAGCAAGGGTTTCTTAGAATGCTTTAAGTGATTAGAGAAAGCGAGAGCTTAATTGAGCGTACCTCTTTAAGTAGAAATGAGGCCTTTATATAGGTGTGAGTACTCAGGGACCTTCTTATAATGAGTCTCAAGTTCTCGTAGAGCCATTTCCGTTAACTCGAGGGAGTAATGACGTCGGTTACATAATATGTGTAGAGGGCTAAGGTCCATCTGATTGGGTTTGATGCACGTGATGCGGGTAGGCTGGCCTAACAGTCAACTCATTACTATTCCGAAGAACTTGGTCTGATAACGGATCTATGTGACAAGTCAGTGAGCATTCCTCGTAGGTCACCGATATTACTTTTCTTACCTCAGCCTGTCCCTAAGGTATGTCACTCCTTAGTCGGAGGTCCCCTTAGGTCGACCGGGTTGAGATACTTTTGGGTCAGCCATATGAGGAACTTCCAACCGACCTACCGAGGTGATCAACTTACTCAGTGTCGGGGTGTCATTTGAAAGCCACGTGTCATGATGTTATTCGGAGGACTTAGATTATCAAAATTATTATTGAAATCAAAGTATAACATTAATAATTTGTAATTAAAAGTTCTCGTATTATCAAAATTATTATTGTAAATTTCACATAATTTTGTAAAGTTTTAAAATATTATTGAATAATAAATTAGTTAATTACTATAACTAATAAAATTTCCATAATTACCAAATTACTAAAATAACAAAAAGGTTTGCTAATTGCAAATTATCAAATTATTATTGATATTACTTTTTTTTCTCACAACTAATAATTTTTACCTTTTATTTTCACTAATTACACCAGTAATTTAAAAATTACAACTAATTTCTAATGATTTTAAAAAAATTACTACTAATTATTAGTAATTCATGAACTGGATCAATAAAATTGTGCAAGCTAGAGTTCACCTGATAAAATAAATTGGTCTAGAAAGTAATTTAATTGGATCAAGAAAAGAATCCAAACCGGAGTTGACTGGATCAAGAAAACCGTCTGAACCACAAGGGATAAGCCAGTCACATTCTAATATCGGATTTAGTTTTTGGATTTGGATCCGATTGTATAAAACTCGAGCATTTAAAACCTTCTTCTTTGCCCACTTAAAAGCTATAGTGGTCGGTCAATTTGGTACGCCAAATAAATCTACTGACGCCTTTGACCTTTGTTTTCATAAAAACGATGCACATGGGCTACAAAGACATAGCTGGGAAAGTGCAAAAGTGATAGCACCACCCTTGTTTTGGCTACACCAAAAACCTACAAAACAAATAAACTGATGAGAATAAGCACCATGTTTTGGTTGCCAAATAGATCCAATGGGACCATCAGTCATTATTTTCATCAAAGCCGACCCACATATGCCGAAAATACATACCTGGGGTGACTATCTTTGCCCCTGTTTTGCTCTGTAAAACTGAGAGTGAACTGCTTTGGCCCCTATTTTTTTCTATAAAATTGAGTCAGAAGAATTACAAGTGGGAAGAGAGAGGTGGGACGGGAAAGCAAGTTTAAAAAGTTAGGACTTTTTGGTGTGGTTTCCTATTATATCATGATTCAGATATGTGAATTATTTTGCATTTAGGTTGAGTTTGGGAGAAGTGAAAGTTGTGTAGAATTTGAAAAGCATGGCCTTCATACCCTTGCACATCAGTTGTTCCATGATTGACCTGCATGCCCAAGCCATTTCAGTGCAGAATTCCAAGTTTTTGTCCCTCAGTATATCCATCTCTGAGATGCAAACAAAGGTTGTTGGGGGGAGTTTCAGGGCCCCCAATTTGGTTGAGCTTCTGGAAAGAGTGTTGCACCAAAGGATGTGGTTGGCTCCTACAGCAGAGATAGTCGTCAGTAAACGTCCGAGGCTTCCAAGTTCAGCGTCGAGCTAGAGGACTGTGTTGTGTTTATCTTTGAATAAGTTCATGCCTCTCCACTGACAAATGGTTGTATCAGTATAGTCCCTTGAAACAGAATGGCTTTGGTACAACTTAAGGATGACACAATGTGTGTTATGAATACTTTCGTAAAGTTGAACTGGTTCCACTAAGATTTTTTGTCATTTGATCCATTCGGTGGTGGATCTTTGGCTGAAACATTGGTCACAACCATCTCCAAAACCTATATATCATGACCAAACCACGATTAACGAAAACAATAACTAGAAAAACATGTAAACTGAGGAAGATAGGGAGAAAGAGAGACAAAAGCAAACAGATAGAGGTGGGGGAGATGAATAAGAGAGGGGAGGGTGTTTTTTTTTTTTTGAAAGAGAGAGAAAGATTGTGATGAGATTGAGAGGAAAACAACGACATGGTCAGGGAGGCAAGAGCCATAAGAATAGAAAATAGACTCAGCAGAATAGTTGAGACAGAAGAGGCATAGAATTTTCTAGAATGGTTTTGCACAAATACTACAATGATTTTGATTTATTCTGCCTCCATAACAAAGAAATACCCAAATATTTGCAATCTCTTTAAAGAGTTGGCATTCCCATGTCTTTTATTCATTTTAGCACCTATGGGTTGTGTATTTCTACTAAACCAAAGACCTGATTTTTGAAAATTAATTTGAAGTTTAGATAACCTTTGAAAATCATGAAGTAATTCGACAAAATCTGCTGCCGCCTCCTCCCTATTAGCTTTTCAAAACGTTAAAACACCATCAGCAAAAAGGAGGTGTGAAATTCTAGGGACATCTCTGTGAATTTTGATTCTCTCTATTTTATTTTGTTCATTAGCCTTTGAAATCAATCTAGAGAAACCCTCCATTGCCAACATGAACAAACTTCTTATGTTTGAGCTCAACAACGATCCAAACTTCATATAAAAAAAATTAAGAATTATACATATAAATAAGTTAAATTAGGTTCATGAGCCAAGCTTCATACTATTTTGAGCACAGCTCAACATGTAATCAAGCCTATATATTGAGCTTGAAGTTCGATTAAACTTAAACCTAGCAACCAGGGCTGGTTGGGTTGGTTTTGAGTTGGACCATTTTGAATTGGGTCAACAAAAGCTAAATCCTAACCCTAGATACTCAAGTTAGGATTGATCCATGGGTTAGACAAATCAATGGTTCAAATGTCAATTAGTTTTTGACCAACTCAATTTTTTTACCAAAATACGGGTATAATCATTCAGTTCAAATGGTGTGAATGGTTTGACCGTATGGGTTAAAACCAGTTTGAAAATGTTGGTTTAGAAATAAGTGACTCGTGACCCAACCCGACCTAAGCTGATTTCTCTTCAGGCCGGATGGGGTCATTCTGCCTTCTAGCATGACATAAGTCGCTATATGGGGTGACAACCTTTTTCTTTTTTCGAGTCAGGTAGGAATTACGGGTCGGGTCAACCTTTTGCTCATATCTGATTTATACCAAACTGTGAATCAAACTTTTATCAGCCAAAAAAACTCAATGACTCGCCAGTCGCGAATGACAAAGTTGGCCTTTTTTTAGAGAGAATGATGGTTTAGTCCAGGATTAGAATTTTTAAGCCTAATTTATTTTTGAGGTAGATGCCAATTCACTGTGGATATTGATGTATAGAATTAGGGGTTTTGACATTTTAAATATTTATAGCTCTGCAGTAAAATTCAGAAATCTATATTAGGCCTGTCAGTACTTTTCCATTTTTTTTAATGATTAATAGCGTACAATACAAATGATTATTGGTGACATTTTGACCCGAGACCCGACCTCTTCCATTATCGTATTGTGGGTGGCCCCAAATCCAACAACAAAGATCAGATCACAATTAGGCGCGACAATGATCCCACCATATCACCATTGAATCCATTTTCTTATATGGAGTGGATCTGTATTTGGCTGGATTAGCTTCAAATCCGACTCATTCTCTTGGGAGGAAAACTATGCAACTCTAATGGGTTAATTCGGTCAATAAACAAAGAACGTACTGAAAATGTAGGTCCGTCAATTGGTCAAAATAAACCCAATAGAACCAGCTGACCCGACCCTATTATACTAGGTCTGGGTATGCATTACACGTGTCGCTGATAAATTGACAGATGAACAGGTTTATTGTCAAATTACGCGTATATTGTCTAATAAATGGGTCTATAATACATACTAATCCGGGCGAGAACCGACCCATTGACATCAACAGAAAATAGAGAGGCTCTTACGTAGATTACTCTGTAACTCCTGCGTGTTTCCCATGCGTATTGACCAAATGCCCCCGCGTAACCGACCACGCGCTTACCAGTTACCATAGGTAAACGGTGGACGTGGACGTCTGGAATCGGGACAGCCAAGCGAAATCTTTCTCCGGAGTCACTATTTGAGAGATCTACTTCTATCGCCTGAAACCTCAAGAGGAGTTGAGGACCAGAAACACACACAGAGACAGAGACAGAGAGGGAGAGAGAAAGAGAGAGACCATGGAGGCCAGACTCTCTGCTTCCCTTGGTCTTCCATCTCCAAACCCCGATTACCATCGCAGCCTCGCCGATTTCGACAGCCTCTTCAATCACTTCAACGCACTCATATCCTCCTCAAATCTCCAAGGCATCAAACCTAATCAGTCCTTGGAGAAAGCTTCCAATAACAGCAAGAGCAGTGGCAACTTCCTCACTTTCTCTTCAACTTCTATGTCCATAGAGACTAACCTGACATCTTCGTTTGTTCCCCACGAAAACACAAAACCCAGATCTCAGAAATGGCTAAATCCCGCAACGAAAGGAAATACAAAGATCCAGGCGCTGATGAAAAACCTATCAGTCCTCGAAAGGGCTGTCATTGGAGCATCGGCGGGAGGAATTGCGGGTGCTCTCACCTACGTATGCCTCCACCCTCTTGATACCATCAAAACTAAGCTCCAGACAAAAGGGGCAGCCCAGATTTACAAGGGAACTTTCGATGCCATCGCCAAAACTTTCCAAACGAAGGGAATTCTGGGTTTCTACAGTGGCGTATCGGCCGTTATTGTTGGCTCGACTTTCTCCTCTGCTGTGTACTTTGGGACTTGCGAATTCGGTAAATCGGTCCTATCTAAATTGTCCCAATTCCCTACCTTGCTTATTCCTCCAACTGCTGGTGCAATGGGCAATATTGTCTCCTCTGCTATAATGGTGCCCAAGGAGCTTATTACTCAAAGAATGCAAGCGGGGGCGGCGGGGAGGTCTTGGGAGGTTCTGTTGAGGATTCTGGAGAAAGATGGGATTTTGGGTCTATACGCTGGTTATTCTGCGACTTTGCTTAGAAACTTGCCTGCTGGAGTATTGAGTTATTCCTCATTTGAATATTTGAAAGCCGCCGTGTTGAGTCGAACGGGGCAAGCTCATTTAGAGCCGTTTCAGAGTGTCTGTTGTGGTGCATTGGCAGGAGCCATTTCGGCTTCTCTCACGACACCTCTTGATGTGGTGAAGACCAGGTTGATGACTCAGGTTCAGGGAGAGGCCAGAGATAAGGTTGTTGTTGCTGTGTATGGTGGAATTTCGTCGACCATAAAACAGATTTTGAAGGAAGAGGGATGGGTAGGGCTGACCCGTGGAATGGGGCCCCGAGTTCTTCACAGTGCGTGTTTTGCAGCATTAGGTTACTTTGCATTTGAGACTGCTAGGCTTATTCTGTTGAATCAGTATCTCAACCGGAAGGAATCTTATGAGATGGCCAGTGTTCTCTCTTGATTCAATGGTTATTATTTGATGTGAAAGCATGAAATCAACTATTAAAGGTGACAATTATTATCTACCCTCATATGCACCTAGGACTTTTCCTGTTCTTTCCAATTCACAGTTTTTGCAGAATTTAATTTCTGTTTAAAATGTGTTTTCGATCCTAGAAGTCTATTGTAATTGTATTTTTAAGATGAGGATTCTAGTTGTAAATGTATCTTTTTTTTTTGACATATTATAGTTTGTTTTCTTCTTCGTTGATGGACAATCTCTTCAATAAGTGTATTGATTTTTCATTTTCTAAAGAATTGCTATTGTTAGACATGCATACCCAGCAGAACACAGCACACTGGGAAGATTAATATGAAATCGGTTTCGCCTTTCCTGTTTCACTTTATATTGCGCCTAGGTTCCAATACATCGAGAAGTGCAGGTATCTTATACTTTGAGTCATATCAACCATGTTTCCACCAGAAAAACAAACATTGAGACCTAGTTACTGCCCATAAGGATGCTAGAATGGTTTCTTTTCCGACTACTCTCTTCCCCAGAAATGACAATCCTTGGATCAGTGATAAAGAAAACTAATTATGGTTGTAAAGGAAAACCTCACACTCTTTATTTAATTTTTTTGTTGTTTCTGTCATTTGTTTGGGTGCAAGTGGACTACATCTAACTCTTTATTGTCCTACCTCAAAGAGTTACTTATAATCAACTCGCTTGCATGCATAAATTCTTCAGATTTCTCAAAACAAGGTTTGGAGGCATAGTCTAATCATTTAGAGATCTATCAATTTCTTGCCTTTATTTGCTACAAAAAAGGACATAATATATCTATGAGAAATATCATTTGTTTGGGGAAGGAGGGTTCACAATAAACTCATGACCAATGATATCACAAATGATATTTCTCATAGATATATTATTTGTCCTTTTTTGTAGCAAATAAAGGCAAGAAATTGGTAGATCTCCAAATGATTAGACTATGCCTCCAAACCTTGTTTTGAGAAAGCTGAAGAATTTATGCATGCAAGCGAGTTGATTATAAGTAACTATTTGAGGCAGGACAAGGAGTTTAAATGTAATCCACTTGCATCCTCCAAGTGTGGGATTGTATAAAATTAGATCATTTTGAATTATGTACTGGAGTAGCAATAGTCAAAGGTTGATTAGTGGCTCATGGTAAACAAAACCTCCTATTAATTTAATTCCAGGTCTGGGAATTTGATAGAACCCTGATTCAGCCATCTCAAGTTTTGAGGGTTCAGCTGGGCAGTCTACCAAAGATCTCATGTGGCACCCCCTATCAAATTTGTCTACTCCAAGAGGACATATCAGCACAACTAATTCCCCCCCTCCCCTCCCCATGTGCTGGTAAATCAGGTTGTTATGCATGAATAGTAGTAGTATAAATATCTCTGTGAAAGCCCGATGAAGGGTAGAAAAACATTACCAGAATTCCTTTCCTTCTTCTTATCTTCTTTCTTAGGAGGAAGAGCTCCCTCAAAGTAGCTCAGTTTTGTTGTGTAGCTTATCAACTGGTATCAGAGCACGATCTGGGATGGTCACTACCAGGTCCAACGTTGTTGATGATCGAGTCGATCTCTTGGAAGAGCATCTTCACCAGATCGATGGATATGTGAAGGAGATGAAGGAAATCATAACCACCTTCATTTCACAGTTTGAGAGGACCACTTCTAGGGCTAACAGGGAAGGCGAGCAAGAAGGGTCTAGTGGAGACAGTCATTGTCCGCATGGAATTCCTTCAGGAAGAGCGATCAAGATCAACTTCCCCATTTTCTCAGGTGATGATCCTGTACCTTAGATTAATAGAGCTGAGCAATACTTCGCATTCCATGAATTCCTGCCTCCTAGAGGCTGCAAACCGCGGTTATCCACCTAGACGATGAAGCAAATCTCTGGTATCATTGGTACCAGAGGTCTCACCCGCAACTCACTTGGCTTGACTTCACTGAAGCCCTTAATGTCTGATTTGGACCTGGGTACGAAGACTTTGATGAATCTTTGGCCAAGATCCGACAGTCTGGAACAGTTAGAGAATATCAAAACCATTTTGAGAAGCTATCTTCTAGAGTTCAGAACTAGATTGAGAAGGCCTTAGTTGGAAGTTTTGTAGGGGGCCTCAAGGACTAAAAGCATGAAGTGAAGGCCATGTGACCTCCGACTGTTATAGTAGTGGTGGGTCTGGCCAAACTCTTTGAAGAGAAGATCAAGAGAAGTAAGAAGTCTTTTAGGACTTTCAGCCCGATCCTTAAGACCCTTGTGGACCGCCCTTGAGACAGGAACCCGGTTTAGTTATTAAGACTTCCCTAGTTTGGGTTGAACCCAAGTCAACCAAATTAACAAGCCAGAACCCCTACCCAATAAGAAAACTAATGGTGCACGATTTGGATGCTCCTATCTAGAAGGCAGCTCGGATGTTGGTTGTATAGTAGGCCGGTCAAACTGCAAGACAGATGGATCAGAGAACCCGGGGTGGTTAGCCCAGCGAGGTCGCTCTGATGCTTAAGTTAGTACTGGATGTAAGTAGCGAGTTGAAAGCTTGAGAACTTGAGAGCTAGAGTGCACTAAATCGCGCGTACCTGGGTCTCAGGGGCTAATACCCTTATATAGCTGGGCTGTCGTGGGTCTCACGAAACACTCCCGAGATCTTTGGCCCGATCCGTAGGAGTCCGTTCCGCTCCGGAAGGTGGATAACCTGCTAGTTGATAAGGCCCATCGCGTCCCTCTGATTTGGGCGGGATGAGGATAAAGCCTACGGTTGCATGGCGTGATCCCGAGGGGTTCAAAGACAATTGGCAAGCTTCTAGAAGGCTGCTACGTGTCACTTCGACAGGCTGGGTTATCCCGAGATACCCGGGTTTCGGTTCTACCCGAGGTGACCGAGATACCCGAGGTGGCCCGACCTGCCAAGGTGGCTGAGAATGTTAAGTCATGCGTCTAATCACCAGGTTATGTCCACGTGTCCGCAACTTACTAGGTCGGGCCAAATCACCCCTCATCAGTTGCTCCCCACTCCCCATGCCAAGGGTCCTGACTTGGTGCGGGGAGGTCATGGCGGAGTTAAGTCGATTTGGCTCGTCTTCCTCCAAGTTGGTGTCCGGTTCGATGGTCAGACCTTGGCAACCCGCCCGATTCAATCGAGAACTCAGATCGCGTACCAGGAACGTGCGGACGTCACACGGATTCCAAAACCCCGCGGATGTCAAAACGCGCGCTCAACTATTTTCGCCTCAAGGGTCGTGCGACCGGTTTCTATAGGAACCGTTGGATTGCTTCGATCTGGACCGTCCAAGATCGGTTAGTGCGGCTTTAAATAGGGACCTTGGGATCCCATTTTGTCACCTTGCTTTGGAATTGTAGTGATTTGGAGCTCGCGCTTTGGTATCCAGGTCAATGGTGTCTACTCTTGTGTCTGAGGTCGCTTTCTCTTCTCTTCGGGTAAGCCTTCTTCGCTCCAGTCCGTTTCCTTTCCAATATGAATGGTATTTGTTTTTCCCTTGGCGATAGCGAGTCCGACCGAATTGGGGAAACCTCCTCGGCTCGCGAATGAGCCCGGTTCGGCCGAAGTGACCTTGTCTCAAGAGCATGAGATCGGTGCCACAGAGGTGACCACCTCGGCGAGCCCTACAGATTCCAGTCCAACTGAACATAACCTTTTAGTCCAGGAGTGTAAGTCATTTGGTGGGAAGGCGTCGTCCTCCAGGCCGCCCAAAAAGACTTCCAAGCTGCCCAAAAAGACTTCCAAGCCACCCAAAAAGACTTCGACTCCCAAGTGTGCTAAGAAATCCCGAGGTCCAGATAAGTTCGGTCCTTCAACTCTGTCACTCAAGAGACTCCAAGCCCTGGTCCTCAAGTACAAACTCCCCGACAACCTCAGCTACTCTATCCCCTTGGAGGGATATCCCTGACAACACGACCTGGACGAGATCACAGTCTTCGAGGAGTAGCTCATTGCCGGGCTGCGCTTCCCTCTTCATCCCTTCATCATCGAGGTCATTAAGTATTTCAACATCACCATGGACCAGTTGCACCAGAACTCAGCTCGGACCTTTGTAGGGACCATCCCAGTTTTCCACGACTTCGGCATACCCTTGAGCTTAGATACCTTCAGTCCGCTTTTTGATGTCAAAATAAATTCCGTCAGCCTCGTTCAGGAGGACAAGTGTAGCTATTACATCTCCTACCGGCTTGGATATAAAATCCTCTACGAGTACCCGAATAAGGTCCTGGCTCGGAAAAGGAGGTACTTCACCATTTCTGTTGAGTGGGGGATGGTCTTTTCCAACACACTGGAGGACCTGCATTAAGGACCCCGAGGACAAGCTCAATGAGATACAACGAGAGGAGGTGTACTTCTTAGTTGACCTCGAGCTATTGGCAAAGGAGTACTTGGCCGAGAAGATGCTCATTGAGGTCGGGCTAAGTCCTCTGGGTAGGTCGTCACCTCGGCACACGTGTTTCCCTTGTTTTCTCTTTTGATTACTTTGACTGATCTGGTGGTTGATTTCTACAGGAACCATGTCTGATATCCCTTTCGCTGAGCTATTTGGGGATATGAAGAAGAGGAAGAAGAGGACGACGTCGCAAAGCAACGCTCCCCGTTAGGTCGCTAGCACTCTGACCACTAAGCCCGCAACCACCGGTGCCCAGGAGCCCCCAGTCGTCAACCTGGTCGAGGAAGATCACAAAAGGAGTCTACCTCCCCCACCCGAAGGGGCCCGATCTCCAGCACGCCAGGGCGCTACCCTCGGGGTTGGCTCCTCCAGCGAGGGCCCCGAGGTGGTCCTGAACGTCTTGAATGTTCGATCCAGCCTTCTGAAGAGTAGGGACGCGGTCTTCCCCGCCAAGGCCCAAAAGTATGTCGGGCTGCCTGTCGAACAACTGTTGGCCAAGGCTGCTAGCAGCTGTATGGTGGTATGTCTTTGACTTGAATTCTTCCAGCTGTTTTGGTCTTCAACAGTTGAACTAATTCTCATTTTTGTAGGTGAATTCCATGGTACACTCCCTCGCCCAACAATCCGAGCTGCACCATAAGGAGGCCCGATTTGCCATGGCAAAGGTTGAAGAAGCTGAGCAAAGAACCGTTGCCGCCCAGGTCAAACTGTCGAAGGCTCGCAGTCTCACCCATAAGCTTGAGAACGATGCACGGGCCCAGGACTTGATTGAACATATGATGAAGGAAGCTGACGAGCTGAAGAAGACCTTGAAGGAGTGTGAGGCTGCCTTTGACGAGGAGATTGAGAATGCTAGGAAGGCCGTTGTTGCTGAGTACCAGGGTTTGACAACATTCCGCGAGCTAAGGATGGAGATTGGCACAGGTGCGCTTATAGGAAGGGCTTCAAGCTTTGCCGGTGGTTGACTAGGCGTAAGTTCCCTAACCTCGACCTCCACGCCATTACCACTATTGGAGTTACCGACGCCATGGCTACGGAGGCTGAGAAAGACCGGACTCGGAGGAAGCAAGCGACGAGGAGGAGGGAGGAATGGAGAGGGCTACAATCGACGAGGTCATAGAGACCGATGTGGTTGCTGCTGCCAAGGACGCCATGGAGATCGAACCATCCAGGACTTTCGAACATGTTGCAAGTGGGGGCAAGGAGCCCCATGAAGACTAATTCTGCCTCTTTTCTTGGACCCCCCGTACATAATGTCTCGAGCCTCCGAGCTCGGATAAGTAGATTTTTCTTTTCTTTCCCCTTTCCCCCCTTTTTTCTTTTTTTTTTTTTTGAATGTACTTAGCCTCCCTTTTTTGCAATGAAGTAATGAAGTACATTTTGTTCTCCACTCTGTGAACAATTGCGCAAATTTAATTTTTTTCTAAGTGTAGATTACCCCAAGGTGCCGAGCTGGTGAGCTAGGCATAGTTAGGAATAATCCGAAGTCAATGTAAGCCGAGGTGTGTGGACACTGTAGGGTATGTACCTGACCTGTCTACACACCGATGAGGCTGAAAGTGAATTGCTTTTTTATTTTGCCCATGCCGAGGAGGCGACTGGGTCTTATGTAGTGCTGAGGTCTTTTATCAGCTCGGCACCTTAGCCCTTAGGCTCTGGGAGCGACTCATAATCTACTCTCCTATGTACACCCTGACCAGCTCGGTGGTCTTCTGGACTTGGTAAATTTTTTGCGGATGTCTGACTTATGAGCTCATAAGTAGTACCTCTTCAAGTTGTTGACGTTCCAAGCACGGGGTAGCTGCTTTCCTTCCATCGTCTCGAGTTCGTATGTGCCTTCGCCGAAAAATCGTCTCACCCTATACAAACCTTCCCAGTTCGGTCTGAGCTTACCAACGTCGGGCTTAGGTACTATCACCTTCCGGAGTACTAGGTCGCCAACTCAGAACTGGCGTCTCTTGACCCGGGCATTGTAGTACCGAGCTACCCGTTGTTGGCAGGCCGCGGTTCAGATATAAGCTAGGTCGCGTACTTCCTCAATTAGGTCAAGATTTGTCCGCAACCCGTCGTCATTGGTTTCTCCATCGTACGCCTCAAGTTGTAAGGTCGACACCTAAATTTCAGTTGGGATTACGGCCTCCGTTCCATATGTCAAATTGAATGGTGTCCTGTAGGCCCAAAGGACACTGGGTAGCTCATCCACCCACAACCCTTTAGCTCGCGCCAAGCAAGCTTTCAATCAGCGGAGGATGGCCCTGTTCGTCACCTCGGCCTGTCTGTTCACCTGAGGGTGTGCTACCAAAGTGAAATTCTGTTGGATCCCCATCTCAGCACATCGGTTTTGGAACTTGATATCTTCAAACTGCTTTCCGTTGCCCGATATCAACACCTTGGGTAGTTTGAAGTGGTAGACTGTGTTCTTCCAAAAGAAGTTATGCACGTTTCGGGCTGTGATTATTACTAGTGACTCGACTTCCACCCACTTCGTGAAATAGTCCACTGCCACGACTAAAAATCTTCTTTGCCCGGTTGCTAGTGGGAATGGACCGAGAATATCTATTCCCCATTGAACAAAAGACCACGGGCTGGTCAGATACTTCAGGTCGGTGGCAGGTTAATGGAGGATGTTGGCGTTCCTCTAGCAGTTATCGCATTTCTTGACGAGCTCGAGTGCATCCGCTTTCATGGTGGGCCAATAATACCCTTGCCTTAGCGCCTTTTGGGCGAGCGCCTTGCCCCCCAGGTGTCCTCCACAAAGGCCTTCATGGATCTCGAGGAGTACCCGGTCTGCTTCTAAAGGTCGCAAGCAACATAAGGGAGCGTAAAGGATCTCCTGTACAGTTGCCTGTCAATAATAACGTACCAAGCTGACTGATGCTCTACCCTCCGAGCTTCGTTGCGGTCTGCTGGTAGGGTCCCGTGGAGTAGATAATCAACAAGCGGGTCAACCCAGCTCGGTTCTGCTTGCAACATGGGAGCGACCTCTTCTGCCTCCTCAAGAATGCTAGGCCGAGGCGGGTCTTCTATGTATACCGTCCTCATGGTGTTGTCACTTGTGCTTGCCAACCGTGATAATGCATCGGCCTCAACGTTCTTTGACCTCGGTACTTGTCAGATAAACTAGGAGAAGGTCGGCAGGAGTTCCCTTACTTTTGCTAGGTAAGCCATCATCGTAGGATTTCGAGCCTCGTATTCGCCATTCACCTGGTTCACAACCAGCTGGGAGTCGCTGCATACTACAATGTGCTTCGCGCCGATCTCATTCACTAAGTTCATTCCGGCTATCAATGCCTCATACTCCGCCTCATTGTTTGATGCCTCGAATCCAAACCGGAGAATGCACTCCAGCTTCACCTCACTCGGCCCATACAGTATGAGTCCAGCACTGTCTAAGTGGAGGATCTAGGGCACCTCGTCTTAGGTTGGGCTTTCTCTAACTGGGACCGGCGCCGCACTAGTTGACGCCTATGACGCACTAACCGGCTCAGCCACCTCAGGGGCCGACGTGCTGAACGTGCATTCCACCACTAAGTCTGCCAAGACTTGAGCTTTGATCACTGGGCGTGGCTCAAACCGGATGTCATACTCGTTCAGCTCGATGGCCCACTTCGTCAATCTGCCTGACACCTTGGGCTCCAATAGGACATGCCTCAAGGGTTTGTTGGTGATGACGACGATCGTGTGTGCTTGGAAGTAAGGGCGTAGTTTCTGAGTTGCGATTACTAGTGCGTAGGCCAGCTTCTTGATGTCGGGACATCTGGTCTCTGATGCCTGCAAAACCTTGCTCACATAATAGACGGGTTGTTGGACCCAGTCTACTTCTCTGATTAGTACTGAGCTGACCACCTCGTCACTCGTAGAGAGGTGCAGCTGCAGCTCGTCTCCTTCAGGTCGGGTCAGAACCAGTGGTGTACTTAGATATTTTTTCAGCTCGTTAAACGCAAGCTGGCACTCTTTGCTCCACTCAAAGTCCTTGTTCTTTTTAATTGCTTTGAAAAAGGGTAGACATCGGCCCGCCGATTTAGATATAAACCGGTTTAGGGCGGCTACCCGGCCAGTTAGCCTTTGGACTTCCTTTATTTTTTGGGGCGGTCTCATATCTAGTATGGCCTTTATTTTATCCGGTTTGGCCTCAATGCCACATCGGTTCACTATATAGCCAAGGAATTTACCCGACGTGACCCTGAAGACACATTTGTTCGGGTTGAGCTTCATGTTAAATTTCCTTAGAATTTGAAAAAAACAGTTTAGATCATCAATTAAAGAATTTGAAAACTGGGTCTTCACGACCATGTCATCAACATAACATTCAACTTTATTGCCAATCAATGGATCAAAAACTTTGTTTACAAGGCGTTGGAAGGTCGCTCTAGTGTTTTTCAGTCCAAAGGGCATTACTTTATAGTAGTACAGCCCTAGTTCGGTTACAAAAGTTGTTTTATCCTAGTCGGCTAAGTCCATCCTAATCTGGTTGTAGCCGGAGTAAGTGTCCATGAAGCTCAACAACTCGTGCCCCGAAGTCGCGTCTACCAGGCGGTCTATTCTAGGATGGGGGAAGCAGTATTTCGGGCAGGCTCTGTTGAGGTCGATGTAGTCGACGCACATGCGCCACTTTCTGTTGGCCTTCTTCACCAGTACAAGGTTGGCCACCTAGCTTGGGTATTGGACTTCCTTAACGAAGTCTGCTGCGAGGAGTTTCCCGACCTCCTCATCAACTACCCTCCACCGCTCCGGGGCGAGGTTTCGTTTTCTTTATCTAACTGGCATGACTAAAGGGTCCACATTAAGCTTGTGAGTTATTATGCTAGTATGCCGGGCATTTTTGTCGCGGACCAAGCAAAAACATCTAAATTACTGAGTAGGAAACTTACTAGTTGCAACCGAAGTGGTTCGCTTAGCAGAGTGCCAATCTGGAGGGTCTTTGTCTGCTTGGCGTCAGAGACCGGTACCTGGACTGTCTTCTCCATTGGGGTAGCTTGCTCCTCTGCTTGTTCGGGTGGTGGCTCTAGTTCGACGTCCTCTGCCAACTTTGCCTTGCCCTTCAACGCGGCCACGTAGCACTTATGTGATTCAAGTTGGTCGCCTCGTACTACCCCCACTCCACAGCTCGTCGGAAACTTAATGGACAAGTAGTAGGTTGACACCACCGCACGTAGGGCATGCAGGATGGGCCAACCTAAGATAGCGTTGTAGGGGGACGGAGTCGCGACTACCAGGAATGTGTGCTCGAAATGCACTAAGTTGGGCCATGCTCCCGCTGCAACTGGCACTGTGGTTCGGCCAAGGGGCCTAACCACCTCACCGCTGAACCCGACTAAGGGCGTGTTTGCTAGCTTCAGGTCTTTCTGCTCCAACTGCAACTTGTCAAATGCCTCCAAGAACAAGACGTCTGTCGAACTCCCGGAGTCTACCAGTACCCACTTCACCTCGAAGTCATTAATTACAAGCTTGACAACGAGGGCGTCATCGTGCGGATATTGGATCCCACGCACATCGCCCTCAGTGAAGATGGGCTCCTCTACCCGAGGTCGCTTCGGTGGGTTCTCAGTTTCATGCTCTAACTCCCAAACTGAGGTCTTCCCTACTGCTGTGCTACACCCCGTAACGATAGACCAATCGGTGATCATGTTGATCACCCCGTGGATTGGCCTATCCTCTGGTGGCTGTTGCCGGGGTGGTTGCTGTTGATCATTCCTCCTGCTTGATTCTAGAGCTTCCCTCCTCTGGTTGGCCTGTTGGTCTGTCGTCTCCCTGTTCTCATGCTTGATGAACTTTTTCAAGTACCCGCGGTGAATCAACTCTTCGATCTCGTTCCAGAGGTTTCGACAACCTTTTGTGTTGTGCCTGATGTCGCGGTGAAGTGGCAATAGACGTTTGGGTTTCTAGTTAATAGGTCTCCTCACATCCTAGGTGGCCACTTAACATAGCCGGTGTCTTTGATCGCCATCAGGATCTCACCTCGCTTTGCATTGAGGGGGGTGTAGGTGGTCCTTTGGATTGGAGGGGTTCTAGATCGTCGACTTGACCCGGAACCCCGAGGTGGGGACTTGCTCCCCTTGTATGAAGACATACTTCTCTTTGGTGACTTGCTCTTCCGCCGTCGATGTTTACTGCAGCTGGTGCCTTCATCATCTCTCTTCCTCTTTTCTCCTTGCTGGAGCTCTACCTTGGACCCGAGGGCCTCTTTCGTCCTCATGAACTTGTCAGCATCGTCAAGGAACTTCTCCATCATCTTTGGGGGGTTCACTCCGAGGTGCCAAGAGAATTTGACCTGCCAAACTCCTTTTTGTGCTGCGATGAGACATGTCGCTGGGTCTAGGTCGAGTATTTGCAAGCATTCTTCATTGAATCGCTTGATGTAACACGTGATTGATTCATTCTCCCTCTGGACCACGTTCAGAAGGCTTGCTGTAGATTTCGGGCACTTCTTACTTGTGATAAAATGAGCAGTAAACATGTTTGCAAACTGCTCCCAACTCTTGATTGAGCCCGGTGCTAAACTCATGTACCATAACCTGGCCAACCCTCTAAATGTTGTAGAAAAGGCTACACACATGCTTGCTTCATCTGCTTCGGCAAGCAACATCTGAGACTGGAAACC